TGGTACATGTAACTACTCTGCTTGACAAGGACAGTACTGTCCTACAATGGAGTTAATTTTTACTGTTCCCAAATAGGCGTGCATGTATAAACAGTGACACTTTACTGCAGAGCTAATTAGTCAGCTCCTCAATAAAGTGAACATGTAGATGTTCACCCAAAAGCATTTATGTAGCCATGTAACAGCAATTTTTGGCATTTACTCACAGTTCACATTGTATTTTCCCCTATGGTAGAGTAAGACCCTCCAGGGAGGCACATACTTGCTGAAAATAAAACAGAAAACACCACTTCTGCTCCATTAGGGCAGAAACTATCCCATTTCTCTTTAGCCATTTTATTAAATGAAAATTAAATGAAAGGTGTAGAAAAGCCATTAGGAATAGTGATGGAACTGAAGACCCTGCCCCTTCCACATGCCATGCAGGCTGGGCCACATGCCACATGGGCATCATACCACAGTTCATAGGTACATCCTGTATTGGGTACTCCCCTTGCTGCCACACCAGTGCCCCCATGCTGTACCATGTGCCTGCCCTTGCCATGACACACCATGTCACATGGGATCCTCTCCATGCTATGCTGTGCATTGGGCAACCCGTGCTGCACTGCATCAGCATATCTGCATTGTGTGGTGTCCCTGAGTCCCTCCAAACTCTCAGCTACAGGCTCCTTTAAACCTGAAGGCTGCATTTTCCCATCCTCAGGTAGGTAGCAAAAGATGAAAGAGGGAAGGGACCTGAAGACCCTCATGGCAGCAGCAGGAGAGCAATGGGGAAATCCACATTGCCCAGTAGGGCTGTGCAAAGCTTCAGTTGCCAATTCAATTGGGCAGAGATTCAGCCCAATTCAGTGGCTGAATCTCTGAATCCAAACCAAATTGAAACCCTCTGAATCAATTCAGAGACATTCGGAGCAATTCGATAATTCAGACATAGACACAGCTTTAAATGCTTTTTCTACATACCTCAAGGTACCAGGCAGCTCGGGATTGCTGAGATGCTGGGGTAGATGGAGTGTCCCATGGGAACATGGGCAGGGGGTCCCAAGCATGCTTGGCAGTGGACACACAAATGGACCAGAAGCACTTTGGTCCACTTCTGCGTCTGCCATGGGGTCGCGGGGGGCTCCCCCCCCGCCCCCACACACTCTGTGGCGGACCCAGAAGTAGACCAGAAGTACTTCCAGCCCACTTCCAGGTCTCCCGCTGAGCATGCGGGAGGCGCCCCCATGCCCCTGTGAGATGCTCCATCCACCCTGCCATCACAGTGTTCATGAGCCATGCCTGGTACCTGAAGGTACATTGAAAAAAGATTTAAAGCTGTGTCTATGGCCAAATCACTGATTCTACAAATCAGCATCGAATTCATAGATTTCATAGACATTAGGGCTGGAAGGGACCTCGGAAGATCATCGAGTCCAGCCCCCTGCCCAAAGGGCAGGAAGTCAGCTGGGGTCATAGGATCCCAGCAAGATAAGCATCCAGTTTCGTCTTGAAGGTGTTCAATGAAGGTGCTTGAACCACCTCCGGTGGCAGGCTGTTCCAGACCTTGGGGGCTCGGACAGTAAAGAAATTCTTCCTTATGTCCAGCCTGAAACGATCTTGAAGTAGTTTGTGACCATTCGACCTCGTCATCCCTTGGGGCGCTCTGGTGAACAAACGTTCCCCCAGATGCTGGTGGTCACCCCTGATAAACTTGTAGGTGGCCATCAGATCACCCCTGAGCCTGCGCTTTTTCAGGCTAAAGAGCCCCAGGGCTCTCAGGCTGTCATCGTAGGGTCTGCTTCCCTGACCTCTGATCATGTGCGTGGCTCTTCTCTGGACTCTCTCAAGCTTCTCCACATCCTTTTTGAATTGTGGAGCCCAAAACTGGATGCAGTACTCCAGCTGCGGCCTCACTAAGGCTGAGTACAGGGGGAGAATGACGTCCCGGGATTTGCTTGAGAAGCATCTATGGATGCAAGCCAGCGTTTTGGTCGCTTTACTAGCTGCCGCATCGCATTGCAGGCTTATGTTCATCTTGTGGTCAATGATGACCCCCAAGTCTCTTTCTTCCATAATGCTAGCCAACATAGCACTGCCGAGCCTATAAGGATGCTGCGGGGTTTTCCTCCCAAGGTGGAGAACCTTGCATTTATCGGCGTTGAACACCATCAGATTCTAGTCCGCCCACTTGCTGAGCCTGTCCAGGTCAGCCTGGATCGCCCGCCTGTCTTCTGGTGTGGATGCTTTGCCCCAAAGTTTGGTGTCATCGGCGAACTTGGCCAGTCCGCTTCTGACTCCAGTGTCCACATCATTAATGAAGATGTTGAACAGTATGGGTCCAAGGACAGAGCCTTGGGGGACCCCACTGGTCACAGGACACCATGATGAGTGACTCCCATCAATTACTACCCTCTGGGTCCGACCACGGAGCCAGTTTTCCAGCCAGTGGATCATGAAGGACCCAAGGTGACAATTGGCCAGTTTCTCCAAGAGGTGATCATGGGAAACCAGATCGAAGGCTTTTTTGAAGTCAAGATATATGACATCAATCACTTCTCCCTTGTCCAGGTGATAGGTCACCTGGTTGTAGAAGGAAATGAGATTGGTCAAGCAAGACCTACCCACAACAAACCCTCTTTGAATCTTCAGATTTGTCTGAACTGAATTGGGACAGTGATCCGAATCAATGAATTGAATCACTGTCCCCTGATTTGGGCTAAATCTGAATCAAATACAGCCCGTTTTGTATGCCCCTAGTGCCCAGCCTAGGAGCTTGTGGGGTTGCAGCTTAATTCTTCTGGGGTTGGACTATTGTGCTGAAAGGTGAGAGCATCCTCCTCTTCTTTCACCACATTGTTCACCACATTTTTCTGGGCTTTTTTTTGGATTTATATCCATTGGTGTGTTAGGATCAACAATGGGATTTTTCCCTTTAGTCTCCTAATGTATACCAGACTAAGAGCCAGATCCTGAACCACTGAAGTCCTGACCCATGTGCCTTGATTTAGTAATGTGGCTTGGTCTCTAAGATGGGATTTTGAACAAGTGAATGACAGAATTATCTCTTTCCTGTAGTGTCTTCAATCTTTTAACCATAGAACAGATTCCCATGAATGGCCAAGACCTGTTCAGTTCTAAGTACCTTTTCCTTCATATTTTCTGACAGATTCACGCATCTCTAAAAGGAAAAAAAGGAAACCATCTACCCCAGCACAAACACCTAGAACTACTGAAGGTAAAGAACCTATAAGAAACAGCAGGGTAATGTAAACTACTAAACAGAAACCTGATCAAGTACCTGTAATTGAGCAATAAATAGTTATGGCTATTACAATTGAGTTGCAATAAATAGTTGTGGCTATTTAAAGTATTATAAGATGTTTCTGCCTCCCTACCAAAAAAGTTATCATTCAAACAGCCCTAGTTAAGAATTCTAATGAGTTGTAATGGGTAGAGGGGTATACAGCTGAACCAAATCACTGCAAGACTCAGGAGAATCCTCAAGAGAGAGAGATAGGTGTATTACTTTTAGAATTAAGAAAGTCAAATTGATTGTGCATGAAAATGCTTCAGCTGACTCACCCTCCTTTTCCTGCTTAGGCTATGAAATAGGAGGAGAGACACCAGGAGCAGCTAGCAGACAGCAAAATTGCCTTAAGAGAAGTTAGCTGAATTAGTCACTAACACCTGTGGAGTGGAGAAAAATGATCCATTAAGTCAATTGAGTCCATCAGCTGCCAGAACAGTAATACCACAGCTGCTACACTGTGTAGCAAGAATCAAAACAGGGTATTTCTAGCCCAGGCTGAAAATTGGCTCTCCTGCTTAATATGCACACCTCACTTTGGGACGGGGAGGGGGATTGATTTGGGGGGTAGGGAGAGGGAAGTGTATTGTATGCGAGAAACTATGGTGTGTAAACATTTGATATCCAGGAATGTTGTAGTACAACATTTTTATCCAATCTGCTTTCTTGAATTCTCTTAATGATAAAAGTACCCATCCTACCCCAAATGATGGCTGTGTCCCAGGTAGTAAGAGGATACAGTTCTTCCAGGCCTGAACTGTAAACCAACACCCCAATTCTAGTTTGTTCCCAGTTGCTAGTTAACTCTGCTAATGTATTTCCCTCAACCTGTTGATGGTTTCCATAGATGACGCAACACTAAAACCTAATCACTTCTTTTCACTGACCAATTTCTCAAAAACAAATGGGGTAATATTTACTCCAGAATCATTGAGTGCAGATGGTGAGGGTCAATCAGAGTATAAACATGCTGGAATTATTTAATTTCATATATAACTGGAAATAGATAGAGCCAGCTGGCATTCAGTCAAACATAGTAAAGTAACCAAATCACTCATTTTAACTGTCTGAATAGAAGGAGCCACAGGCCTGAGTTATCTTCAAATATGAAGTATCAATTTTTCAGGGCCATTCATATAAAAATGCATTCAGTAATCATAATTAAATGTGCATAAGGTGATTTTTGTTCATGCTGTTGGCCTGGAGGTCTTCTAATTGGATGATGCTCAAAATCTCCCCTTAGACTTTAATGTTCTTCTAGAATTGACATTGAAATGAGTCTGCAAATTAGACAACACAGAAACTACAAGCACCTTTATATGTGCTTATGGTCTCAGTTTTCAGATGCTGTTTCAATTAGTCTTCCTTGAGTGAAAATAAAAGAACCTTAAAAAAAATCTTTAAAATCATGTGTTCTAGAAAACTACAGTTAGAAGAGCTTGAAGAGTAAAGATAAGTACATTCAACTACCAACCAAGGAAGAGTCACTGAAAATATACATAGGAGACTTTCAATTAAAAAATAAATTACAGAATAAATCTGAGAAATGTAGTGACAAATTTTCAGAATGGGAGATAGTATTCAGGCCACTAGATTATCGAGCTTTACCTAGCAAATACAGTCTTTGCACCCTAAGATTATATACCAAAGATGGAAAACAGACTGAATTTCAGTTTCTGGCATTTTGCTTTCTTTTTGCCTTTAAAAGCTGTATTCCCCATACGACTGGTGAATGGAAAGAGAAGCTGTGAGGGCCGAGTGGAAGTTTACTACAATGGAACATGGGGAACCGTTTGTGATGATCTCTGGGACAGAAAAAATGCACAAGTCGTATGCAGGCAGGTTGGGTGTGGCAACGTCATGTCAGCACCTGGGAAAGCCCGTTTTGGTCCAGGCTCTGGAAAAATTATGTTGGATAATGTGCGTTGCACTGGAAGTGAAAGGCACCTCGGTCAATGTAAACATGCAGGATGGCTGTCTCACAACTGTGATCATAGTGAAGATGCCAGTGCCATTTGTTCAGGTAAATACTCTTTTTCTCTCTCAAGAATAGACAGCCCGTACTCCCAGGAAGCTACATACTTCACCATCCAGTATATAGGGAGCAGGTGCAGAGAAGGTTTTGTCCATTTCCCTTCACCCTGCATTCAGCCCATTCTTTATTCTCTCTGTATACTCCCAGCTAACATTCAAAACTCCTATTTGACCTCAGTAAACCTAGTGAAGACACCAAAGGTATGAAACCAGAATGAAGCTTAAAAGGCTTATGGAAATGACAGGTGTAACCATAGTGTTCATCACATAATAGGGTTTGGGGATGTTGTGGGGGGGCGGGGTTTATGTGCTAGTCAGTCATTCCAGGGAAGGTGCATTAGTCAGGAGAGCTACACTAGACAGACACAGATGGTAGAATCTGGGCTAACTGAACTTAAGGTTTTGCCAATGATTGCAATAGGTTCAGGATTTCCCTCAGACCATTAAGGAAACCTGTGTGATTTTTATAAGGTGGGAAACAATGTGAGAACAAATAATAGGTCTAACTTATCTTTCTATATTTTTGCTGCCAAGATTCAAAGAGCTAGTTTTGACCTATAGAGCCCTAAACAGCCTGGGACCTACATACCTAAGGGACTACATCCTCCTTCATGCATCAGTGCAATCCCTAAGGTCAGCTGAGCACAATCTCCTGTAAGTGCTGCCATTACACCAATTCCACTTGGCAAAAATGTGTGGAAAATTATTCTTAGCCATTGATCCTCAGCTCTGGGATTCCCTCCCTCTTCAGGCCCACCAATCCTGAGGCTGGCCATCTATTGGAAGTGCTGCAGGACCTTTCTGTTTGGGTGGTCATTTAGGATCCAAAACTAGGCTGAGATGTTGTTGACTAGGTCTCTGATATATTTTGCTTTATTGTATTTATTCAAGTTACCCTTTTAAGTTGTTCTGTTCCTCTTGCTCTAAGCAGGCCTGAACCTTTATTGGGAAGGCCAACATAAATCCCATTAGGGCTGTGCGAAATGGCACTGTTCTGTTTTGCCTTGAGTTTCGACGGTTTGGTGGAACAGCGTTCCATTTCGAATTGAAACAGCTGTCCGTTCCATCAAAACAGAAAGGCTGTTTCAATGCTGTTTCAATGTTTTGCTGGGGATGGCGCCGGGGGTGGAAGGCTGCCTAGCTGGGCTGCTTTCCCATCCCCCGGTGCAATCTAGCACCGGGGATGGGGAAGAAGCCCAGCTGGGCTGCCTCCCACCCCCGGCACAATCTAGCTAGATCCCAGGGATAGGGATCTAGCGCCAGGGATGGGGTGTCAACCCATCTGGGCTGACTCCCTGTCCACTGCCAGATCTTGCGCTGGGGATGGGAAGTCTTCCCAGCTGGATTGACTTCCCATCCCCAGCCTGTGGTTGAAATGTTTCAACTTTCAAAACATTCCAACTAGCCTCATTTTGATTCAAGGCTATTTTAACAGCCTTTGTTTCCTTCCAAATTTTGCTGTTTCAATCTCGAAATTGGTTGAAACAGTGTCGAAACGAAATGGCCAGCAAAATTTCGCACAGCCCTAAATCCCATAAATAAATAATAATAATAAACTAAAACCACCTTAATATTAAAACAACCCCAAATACAATGTAAGCATTTTCTGTGTTCCCCCTGGAGTACCTTTCATTTTGGAAAAGAAGACCCCCCCAAGTTGTTTGACTCTCCTGGCATGATTTTCATTTTAATAAGGTACATACACTCCAGTGAGATAACTGGAATCAGCATCTATTATTTGCATATGGCCATTTTCTTTCAACTATGCTGGTGACCGGGACAATGTTGCCATCCTGTTAAAAGGAGATCCTAGAGAGGTATATACAGTGCTATTCTGAGGAATATGTGTATTTTTCCATATTCTCCTGTGTAGACTTATCATTTTCCTTTAAATCATATAGCTTTTTTCTTCTTCAGAATTAGAAACCATGTAAAGTGATGAGCAATTGAATGTCTTTTTTCTACAATACAATGTCTTTTTTCTACAATAACCTTTTCTACAGATGCCAGACGCACAACTCAAGTACCACCTAGTAAGTCATGAATTTTCAATTATTTTAGCTATTTTCTTGCATTCCCTATAATTTTATAGTTGAATAGTCAGACTTGTCATAGTGTTAGTGTTTTTGTCCGGTCCAGATTTTAAATTTCTCTAGCCATACACTCTCCCAAATGACTACTGTGTATATATTATGTATGTTTTGGAGTTATATTTTTACCAGCCCACTTCTTTACAAAGCCATCTATGTTCTTTGAGTTACAGGACTGTTTACACTTCCAAGTATAACAATGATGAGCTGGGGTTCTTACATTAGGTTTTCAGAAAGATTGACCTAAATTCACTTCCACTTTTGTTCCTTAAGCATTCAGTTCTGCACCAATGATGTTAATAACAAAAACCATCCAAATTCACTTAATAATAGTAATTAGCTAGTGCCTTGGGAATATACTTGTGTCTCACTAGAATTTAACAGCTAGTGCATTAATTCATTTTTCCACAAAGCCTGAAACCCAATTTTTTTCACCAGCCCTTTAGTTCTAGCTTTGAAAACTCAATGTTAGTCCCCTCTGATTAATTTATTTCTTTAACCTCCTGACAGCCTCCAAGCACAGCACAACATTAGAACCACAAACCTCCTTTACATCCACTTCAACTCCACAGACGAGTGTAGCAATCTCAACTCTAGAGTTACTGACTACAACTTACAAAGGTAACAAAATATAATGTAGACATAACCTAAAAGGCATGTGGGAATATTATAAGCAGTTAAATTACAGGAAACATGGATAACTACATTAATTCTGTTAAGTGTTCTAAAGTACTGAAGCTGCTATCCAAAAAGTACAACATTAAACGATTCTGATATGTTTTGGGCTGAAAATTGAAGACGTTTTTATTGCTCAGAAAAAAATAAATACAATGACTATATTTTTATGGTGATTAATCCTTTTCTGCAAACCTGTTATAAAATTTATTCTGGCATAAGTTATCAAGGCAGAAATTGTCACTGGCCTAATTATCTTGATCTTTGAAGTCTCAGGGCTGCCAGGCATTATGGAATAACACACATAAAATCATGCACCTAAAGGGGCATCCAGTCAGAACTGCATGTTCTTATTATACATAATTCATCAAAGCCTGCTTGGTAAATGATCGTGTGGTGTCCCATAGGATATAACCTGCTTAAAATGTAGAAAAATTAATTAAAAAAGCAATAATGACAATCTATTGTGGAAACATTTAATAAGCGAAATTTAGGGCTGGATTTATTCAGGTTAGCCAAATAAATTAGTCAGATGGATATCACTACTGAAACTGCATACATACACGCTGCTATCTGTAGGTGTATTAATCTCCATGGTAAAGGATTCTTTTTCTTTAAATGACTACGTTTGTTGTTATAAACTGAGTCATTAAGAACCATTCTCATTAATAAATTAAACAACTGTGGCATTGATGCCTACACAGTTGGATGGGTAAAAAACTGGCTGATGGGATGTACCCAGAGAGTAGTGGTGGATGGGTTGTACTCAACCTGGCAAGATGTGAGCAGTGGGGTCCCCCAGGGCTCAGTTCTCGGGCCTGCACTGTTTAACATCTTCATCAGCGACTTGGACTAGGGGGTGGAAAGCACGCTGTCCAAGTTTGCTGATGACGCTAAGATGTGGAGCGAGGTGGGCACGCTTGAAGGGAGAGAGAGGCCGCAACTAGATTTAAACAGACAACAAAAGTGGGCAGATAAGAACAGGATGGGGTTCAACGTAGACAAATGCAGGGTGCTGCACCTCGGGAGAAGGAATCCACAGCATACATACTGAATAGGGAATTCCCCTCTTGAAAGCACAGAGGCAGAAAGGGATCTCGGAGTCATTATTGACTCCAAGATGAACATGAGCCGCCAATGCCAGACCGCAGCCAGCAAGGCCAGCCGTACCTTGTCATGCATCCAAAGATGCATCTCAAGCCAGTCCAGAGAGGTGATCCTCCCCCTCTATGCAACATTGGTCAGGCCACAATTGGAGTACTGCGTCCAGTACTTGGCGCTGCACCTTAAAAAGGATGTGGCCAGCCTGGAGAGAGTTCAGACGAGGCTCACCCTTTTGGTGATAGGGCAGCAGGACAGGCCCTGTGAGGAGAGACTGAGGGACCTGAACCTGTTCAGCCTCAGCAAGAGGAGGCTGAGCGAGGACCTGGTGGCTGCCTACAAACTCATCAGGGGAGACCATCAGCAAATAGGAAGAGCCCTTTTCTCCCCAGCACCACCTGGGGTGATGAGGATCAAAGATAATAAGCTGATGGAGAACAGGTTTAGGTTAGAGATCAGGAGGCAATATTTTACAGTTAGGGTGGACAGACTCAGGAACCAACTTCCTAGGGCAGAGGTCCTCACCCCTACCTTGGGCAAATTCAAAAAGAGGTTATGTGATCACCTGTCTGGGGTCTTGTGAACCCAGCTTTCATTCCTGCCTGTGGCAGGGGGTCAGGCTAGATGATCTGTTCAGGTCCCTCCTGACCCTAGCTACTATGAAACTATGAAACCACGAGGGGAAAATGTGTGTGTTGATTTTTTTACATTAGCAGATATAACCCAGATACCCTCTGATGAGTCAAGATTTCTAAATAATTTGAGACTTTTAGGGTGTCTTTCCATGTGCTCCAGGAGGCCGGGGGATGATGCTTTAATTAAAGCAGCTCTGAGAACTGCTTTAATTAAAGAGCCTTCAGCATCTTGTGTCTTAAGTGTCCTGTGCATAGAAATGGTGGCGGGGGCACTTTAACTGAAGTTCATTCACTTTAGTTAAAGTGCCATTTTGAAGCATGGGGATGCTGAATCCTTGAGATGCAGAGGCTGCTGGAGCGCATTAATTAGCACACTCCAGAAGACTTGATTAATTACAGATTCATAATTACAGCATGTTGGAGCAGCGTCACCACACATCTACAGGCAACCCTTACTTTACAATAGTTATGTTTCAGGCATCACAAGTGTCATGATGTTTTTGACCAACTTAGTTTCTTTACTTCTCCCATGAATGGATCCTCCAATACTTCCCATATGGACACTGTGTCAACTAGTAAGGCTACAGACAGATGCAAACCCAGAAATAACTGTAAGACTCACAACCCACTTCCTTATGGAACCATGCCAGTCCACGGTATTTCAGGCACGTGCCTCTCTTGAGCAGGAGAGAGGCAGGCCAATTTGTTATGTTTATGAGGTTTGGTGTTGGGAAAGGTACCGCTAGGAAACTTGCTTCTGCTCTCACCCCTGGAACACACAGTCCTGTGCTCATTGTGCCAATGTTTAAAAAATCCTCACTTTTTATAATTATAAAAGTACTTTGTATTTACCCTGAAAATGCACTTTAGATCTACCACACCAGGAATGAAGGTCTAGCACTTTCAACCATATTTCCACAAACTATAAATTAAGAAAAATCATTGGATCAATGAATGAAATTAAATTACAGAACCAAACTAATTCTAATGAGTGCCCTAAAGAAGCAAAACGACTGTACAAAAATGTATTCTTAAAACCTGTATATAGGTTTTGCATCATAAATAAAACATGGTAGAAAAAATGTTAGCTCGTTGCTCAGGAAAAAAGTACCTGCATAACATATTTTAATAGCTTATTAATATTTTTTGCCAACTAATTTATAGGATGGGTTCAGGCATAAATTGTAGAGCGGAAAGAGCTACAATCCTATGTTTTCTTGATCTTTTAAAATATCAGGCCAGCTGGAGATTATGGAATAATTTGCATTTAACTATGTACCTCAACCACTTATCATGCCCATAAAGTAATAGCAATCAACTTTAGATAGTTAAATACCTGGTCCTTCAGAAAAGAAATCAATCAATGACAAAAGCAAGGCACCTGCCTGCACTTACAGTTACAGCACTATTTAGCTATGAGTAACAGGAGGCAATTCTAACCCAAAACAGGAGATGTTAAGAGCTAATGCACTTATATAACTTTTCCTCAATTTGATTTCGAACCATTTCAACAGTACCCAAACTCTAGGTACTATTGCTAATTTCTAGTTTTCTCTAATAATTTATTTTTTGAATCCTCTAAATGCACAGCAGACAACACAGATACCTTCTCTGCTTCCATCTCCATCACGGAGGAAAATAGAACAACCTCTACTCCAGGATTACTGACTTCTGCTTATAGAAATAAGAAACCATCAGACTGTAAATGTAATTTAGCAAACATGCTGGAATAATCTATGCAAATAAATGACAGGAGAAAGGCAAGATCAGAAATCACCCTGTTGATCCTTCTAAAGTGGCAACTTTCTGACATAAATGTGAAGAAAGATTCGCTAGATTAAGTCAGCTTTATTTTCAAAATGGCATCCCGTCATTCTTATGTTCTTACAGAACATTTGTATAATCATGAATGTAAGTAAATTATGGTGAAATATTTTCAGGTGCTGCTTCAGTTTACTTCTTGAATGACAAAAAACAGAACTCAGCAAGTCTAGTGATGCTTCCAGAGCACTATACAGGAGAGCTATATTACACAGAGGGCACATCTACATGAGACGCATACTGTGCATTAGCCTAATAACACTGTGCAGTAGCGTGTCATGGCAAAAACCATGTTAATAGCCTACTGTACAGTGTTATTAGGCTAATGCACAGTAAGCATCACTAAATAACCATTCACCAGCGCTACTGTGCAGTAACTCTGAGTACTGTGCATTTAATTAGTACTTTTTGAAGTCCTAACTAAACTAAATGCACAGTATCTAAGGTGCATTAATGAACATATAGTGAGTGGGGGATATGTTCATACTGAGGGTAAAGATCTTAAACTGCTTTAAGACTAAACTGCATAAGTATATGGAAGAGAAGGCATGATAGAATAGGGCAGGGGTTTTCAACCTTTCTTGGTTGGTGTACCACCAGTGGCCGGCTGAGATGCAGGGAGTCCCCTGGCCGGGCGATGAGTGCTGGGGGGGGCGTCCCTTGGTGGCTGATCGATGAGTGGGGGGGGCAAGCCGGGGAGCCCCCGGGTGGCTGATAAACAAGCAGGAGCGGGGGGTCCCCTGGACACAGCAGTGAAACCAGAAGTGCCGGCCGCAAAACTGGAAGTGCCCCCCACTTCTCCACACTGCTGCCACGTACTCTCTGGGGGCTTCCCAAGTACCTCCAGGGGTATGCATACCCCTGGTTGACAACCCTGCAATAGGGAATTCTGGCTCAATAGTCAGGCTTTGATATGTGGAGTGATATGTTTGTAGTCCCCAGGTTGGGGTTTAAAAGTACCACCTGCTTTGCGGAAGACATCTAGTAATCTCCTGCCTCAGGGCTTTTGTTGGTGGCCAGTTGGGGTCAGGCAGGAATTTCTTTTCCCCTCAGTGAATGCACTGTCTTCTGGGAAGTTTTTCAGTTTCTTCAGACACAATGGGACTTTGACCACAGCTAAGGTTGGAGATTTGACTAAAGTGTGCTGATGATTCTTCCTGTTTTTAGCAAACCTAATGATTCCTATTTTAGAAAGCCTGAATCTTAGAGTCATAGCAACCACCAAACTTGGGGTCAGGAAGGAGTTCATCCCATAGTTAGACTGACACAGGTTGCAGGGGCTTTTTTATTCCATAGAGCCTTTCTCTAGGCTCTTCTAAGCATATATTAATGAATCACTTCCCTGGCATTGCAGTGGCAGTCCCCCTGTCTCCCCTGCTTTTGTCTGTGACATGTTATAGGTGTTCTTGGGTGTTGTGCCCTGTAGTTTTGTATGAGAATTTTAAGTAGAAAGTTTTCATCTTCTTTTGGTTAGTAAGTGCCTGAGGACACAGGGGACTGGACCCCAAAGCCAATGAGCCCCTTCCAGTTCTGTGTTCTCTCATTTTGCGCCACTTTTCCATCATGGGAGGTGAAGTGAGCAACACTGGGACCGCATTCTTTGTACAAACTCACTTCTGCGCAGAGCCTGAAACCTCAATCTTTACACCAGTGCTCTCATTTTTCAAACTGGTTGTTCATTCTCTCTAACAATTTCTTTCTTCAAACTTCCGACAGCCTCAGTGAATGATGCAACAAGACAACCAGATCATTTCACGTCCTTCACCTCCCCACAACAGGACAGTCAAACAATCTCTACTTCGGAATCACAAACCATAGCTCGTGAAGGTAATTGAGAACTCAGTGCAAATATATGTGGTGATTGTGTGTCGTTATCTACCAGTCTACCTCTTCCTAGGGCTAGAACCTTCTTGGTGTTTGACTTACAGTCCTTTCTGGAAGGAGCTAAGAATATAAACCACATCAACATGTTGTGTTGTGTGACGGGATGGGAAGTGCTGAAGAAGAATAAACAAAAAATATTAAACCCACTTAACACTTGTTCCAGTTCTACGTTGATTGTATGAACAATCTCGGAACTTGCCTATAAATATAAGAGTAATACTAAATGCTTATTAACCTGAAGATACAATTCTGACCTATCTTACCACTAATTAGGGGCTAGCACATTGACACATGTCTCTACAAAGTCTGGAATCTCAAAACATTTTCAACCACCCAATTCTAGTTTTCAGTACTAAATGCCAGTGATATCTAACAATGATATTCCTCAAACTTCTAACAGGCACTGGAGGGTCCACAGATTCTGTCTCTGTTTCCACTTCCACCACAGAGGAGAGTAAAGCAACCTCCACCCCAGAGCCCTTGACTACGGTACTGAATGGTAAGAAACAGTTAGGGCATTATTGGCATCCAAGAAAAATGCCAGAATGATGTATGTAATAAACTTGCTGGAAGCAGGCCTTCTGTCAAACATTCTAGTCACTTAGCTTCCATTGTAGATTGTCTAGGGAAAAGAGGGGTTGCTTCCCACTTCCTTAAATTCCTCAACCTTCTAACAGGTGCTACGGAGTCCACAGATTCTTTTTCTGCTCCTACCTCCACCACAGAGGACAGTGAAACAAGCAATACCCCAGACATCTTGACCACAGATTTGGCTGGTAAGGAACAATCAGAATATGAATGCAATCTTAGGATATTGCCAGAATGATGCATGTAATTGACTGCAAGATTCAGGAAGGAAAAGCCAGCAATCTGTCAAGCAAACTAGCCAAGCTTCCATCATATATTATCTAGGAAGAAAGAAACACCAAGCTCATTCATCTTCCATTTTTTAAATAGAAGGCTAGAGCCCCCACCCTCCTCACTGGCTGGTCAGCACCCCTTTCCCCTTTGCCCCGCAATAGCCCAGAGCCCATGCACCACCATGCACAGCCCCCAGCCCTCCCTGTGCCTTTCTAAGCACTGCAGGCTGTGGCGGCAGCAGCTCCTTCTGGCTGGCACCACTGCTGGCCCCAGCCCCGTGGTACTGGCAGGGACTCCTCTGCACAGCCCTGCCCCACCCAGAACACCCTGGCTGGAAGGGTTTATACAAACGTGACCATGTCATTCCCCATGTAACTGGGAATTCAGTCACTAAATTTCCCACGTAGTGATATTTACATATGCAAGCTGCTTGGATAGACATTAACTAAACAATCCAACTTGTCCTCCCAAGCTACAACTTTAACCTTCCTGTTTTATTTTTTCTCAGAACAGAAATGACCATGCATAAGGGGCAGGATGTAGGGGTGGGTGTATTTTAGGTAGATACATCCCTCATACAATCCACTAGACACAGGGATTAGCAACCTACAGATGTAGGCTATGAAGACGCTGGATACAGCCTACAGCAGCTTGTGCAATTCAGTGCATGCTCCTGCAGACGCAGCAGAGGAGGTCTCCACAGGGTCTTATCACCTGTCTTGTTCCATATTCTCTCTGCAACATCTGTTGATCACAAGGGGGTGCTGGGATTTGTGACCCTTGGCAGGGACAGCATTGCAAGTAGCAACCCATGATGGCAAGAAGTTGCACTGTAATACTCAAGAGAGGACAAGCATGGAAAAACATGGTATACTATGTTAGTTGCAGAGTGTAACTGATAGTAACCAAACATAAAACAAGAATGCTAAGATGGGACATAATGTATTAGAGGAATGTGAAGTAATACATTTAAGAAGAATATACATGCATCACTTGAATAAAAACAACCAAGAGAATATTTAATCATTGTTTATTTGAAAAATATAAATTGGTTCAGTAGATCAAGGCCTTGTCTGTTTAATATGCTAAACAAATCAAGAATACAACTGTATAGAACTAGTTGTTCTTAAGGGGAGTTTGGGGTTCAATAACTTGACATTATGTTAGGGAATGGGCACACAACTAACTCTACCAAGCTGGATGACCTTTGTAGGTACTAATATAGTATCAGGCAACTAGCCCACAATACTGCTATGAACAGGATAAGGCACAAGACTGGTACATTTATCCATGGGAATTATCCCATTCTGAGGGCTGAAGTGATTTGGACTAGCATTGAATGGTAAGGTAGGGCATTCTTCTCAGCTTTTACAATGGATAACTTCAATTTATTCTGTTGTAAAGGTGCTGTGTGTTTGTGAAGAATGAAAAATTGGAGAAAAGCCACAAAACAGATGTGTGATACTATGGACAAAAGGGTTGATAGGTCTTCCAATATGTAATCACCTATTAAAGAAAGTAGTGCTGGCTCAGGTCACTACAAGCCTTCATCAGCTACAAGAGTGTGAGGCTATAGGAATATACCATGCAGTCTTGCAGAGTTTATGTATAATGTCAGATTATGAGTAAAAATGCTACAGTAGAATATGGGTCATTTGGAGGAAGATTAGCAATAATTTAAAGGGAAAAGGACCTTAAAGTTAAATAGCCCAGTGCTTGAATTAAAACTATTAGCTGGAAATATATAACAGTGTGACAGGCAGGTCTGAAATAAATTTTTAGAGTGCTCAAATGTTAAAAATAATGCAAGTGGATATTAACATTTATTCATGTAAACTTACTCCCAGATATGAAATGGGCCTCTTCGCTCTGATGTTTACAGGAAAATAAAATGTGACTGAACCTTATATAGTATGGATGTTAGAACAAAGGTAACATGTACATCAGTGGCTACCCCTTTTGGTAGACATTTTAATTTCCATGCTGATTTTTTTTTGTTTGTCTTTTAATTGGTTTACTTTGGGTTTTCAATACTAAAGGCTATGTCTGGGATGAGTAAATTATGTTTTATATTCCCCACAGTAACAGATACTGAAAACACAACTGCTGTACCCGCAGGTGAGTGAAGGTTTCTAAGTAAGTTTAGACTTGTGCTGCTCAATATCCATCTTAAAATTGTGCCCTGCCTTGTTCCTAATATTCCACCTTGATTTTTCTATTCATTTCTTTAAATGCTTCTTAATGCTCTTCAAAAATGTAATAATATAATTGAGGGAATTTGGTAGGAATTTGTTTCTGGTAGGAATTTTGGTACCCTCTGGTAAGTAAGTCAGGACTTTGGAATGATTCTACCATGAGCCTTACAACATCCAAGATTGTCAAAGAATTAGTGGTTTTGTACAGATTAGCTTCTTGTGCTTCCCAAGGTCGGTTTCACCTTCACCTTCCACATGATTCATGAATTCAGAGATTCATAGATTGTAAAGCCTGAAGGGACTTCAGCAGATCATTGGGTCCAGCCCCCTGCACCAAGCAGGAAAGACAACTGGGGGTCAGGTGACCCCAGCAAGGTGACTGTCTTGTCTCCTCTTGAACATCTCCGGGGTAGGTGATTGCACCACCTCTGGAGGGAGGTTATTCCAGAGTCTGGACACCCTGACTGAAGAATTTTTTCCAATGTTGAGCCTGAATCCATCTTCCAGGAGTTTGTGGCCATTACTCCATTTTCCCCTCGGGTGCCCTGGTGAACAGTTGCTCACCGAGCCCTTGATGTACTCCCCTAATGTAGTGGTCAGCTGCTACCAGGTCTCCTCTCAGCCTTCTTTTCTTCAAGCTGAAGAGTCTCAGATCCCTCCGCCTTTCCTCGTATGGCTTGCCGTGTAAGACTCTGATCATACAGGAAACTCTTCTTTGGACTCTCTCAAACTTGTTAAAGTGCAGTGCCCAGAACTGGATGCAGTATTCCAGCTGCGGTCTCACCAGTGCTGATTAAAGCAGAAGAATCACCCCCTCGGTTTTTCTGGAGGTGCATCAATTGATGCATACCAGAGAAGTATTTGCCCTACTGGCTACAGCGTCACCCTGCCAGCTCATATTCATATGGTGGTCTATTATTACCCCCAGGTCCCATTCATTCATGTTGCTAGTCAGTTGGGTACTGCCAACCCTGTAGATGTGTGGGGGGTTTCTCATCCCAAGGTGGAGCATTTTACATTTCTCAACGTTGAACTTCATCGGATTCTGATCCAACCAACTTGCCAGCCTGTGCAGGTCTGCCTGTAACTGTAGCCTATCTTCAAGCGTGACAATGCTTCCCCATAACTTGGCATTGTCCACAAACTTGGCCAGTGAGCTCTTCACCCCCACATCCAAATCATTAATAAAAATGTTGAAAAGTACTGGACCAAGCACCAACCCCTGTGGGACACCGCTGCCCACTTCTCACCAGATGACACAAATCCATTCACTACAACTCTCTGGGTCCTATCCTGCAGCCAGTACTATATTAGCAGGCCTCTGCAAAGCAGCTAGTATTTACTTCGGATTCGGCTGATTTGCGGAACAGTGATTCAATTTAGTGACTTGAATCACTGTCCCGAATTGATTTGGCTGAATCTGATTTGGAGATTCAGCTGCTGCTGAATCAGCCAAATCTCCAAATCACACAGGCCCATCCCCCACCCAGTCTCCCAGCCCTGGCTGCCTTGCCCTCCCCAGCTACTGGCACTTCGAAAAAAGAAAAGCCCCCACACACCAGCTGCTGGCCGGTTGGGGGGGTTCTTCGCTGCCCCCCAATGCCCCACGCTGCATGGGGGGCTCTGCATGAGAGCCTGCAAAAGCCCTGAGGCTGCTGCTGGAGCCGGTGAGACCAGTGTTTTTTGGGGGGTTTTTTAAAGGGCCAGAGCTGGGGCAGGTGCAGCAGCCATGGGCAAGACTGGGACAGCAGTGGGCGGGGGTCAGGGGGCTCATAGAAGAGCCTCCCATGCAGTGGCAGGCACTGGGGAGCAGAGCGGATCGCCCCCCTGCTGGGCAGTAGCTGGTGAGTGGAGGCTTTTTTTTTAATGGGCTGGGAGCTGGGGTGGGAGGGGAAGTCATGGCAGGGGCTGGCAGGGGATGGGGCCTGGCAGGGGTCCCCCCCATGGTCCCTTCCCCCCTCCTTCAGCCCTCCCTCCCCCGCCCTCCACTTACCAGCTCCAAGTCAGGCTCCAGATGCCTGCTGCAGTGGGTGGGGACTGTCTGAATAATCAAAGCTCTCCAAATCATTTCCAAATCAATTCAGAGAGCTTCAAATTGATTTGGACCTTTTTATTGGTCCCCTGGTTCGATTTGGATTTTGACATTCAACCACCAAATCTCTTCCGAATCGAATCAGCACCCGAAGCTACACACCACCCTATATATGAGCACCTACAGAGGTCAGCCATCTTGGTAGAGTTAGGGAGCCATATTATCTTACTATCACATAACCTTGAAGGCTAGGGCATTATCCTACAATTCCATAATCTTGAAATCCAAATCTATTTTACCAAAATCTAGTTCCAGTTTATATTACTAAGGGCCATTTCACCCTAACAAGAATTTCTTTAACCCTCTAACAGGCACTACAGATTCTTCCTTGGCTCCCACCTCTACCACAGATCAGAGTGAAGCAGTCTCCAGAGAAGAACCCCTAACTACAGCAGTGGATGGTAAGAAACAACCAAACTATACTCACTTGTATTTCAGAAGTCAGTGTTCTTAAACTAAGAATATAAATCATGTCAGCCTGTGGTTTTTCTGATTTTTGGTTTGGGAGAACATTTAATCCAAAACAACACAGCTCATTTTCACTTTGACCCCTAAAGCAGCTGGTTCTGTCACAATGATGGCAAATGCAAAAAAAAATCCCAAGCTTTCCTCCTAATTAGAGTAGTAATTAATTCTTAACAACGCAATTCTGATTCAAAGCATGGAGACTTAGCAGTAGTCTGAAAAATCTTTCATATAATATCAGTGTTCTACGAAGCCAGAAACCCAAACTTTTTCACCAACAACCTAGAACAAGCCGTTCTGACTAACAGACCTGTTCTTCCTAATTATTCTATTCCTGAACCTTCGAATAGACACTGCAGAGTCCACAGATTCCTTCTCTGTTCCCACCTCAACCATGGAGGAGTCAGGCACCCCCTACTCAAGAACCCTTGTCTACTGCTTTGGATAGTAAGAAACAAAGAGTGTGTGCATGGAGTTTGAGGAAAATGCTAGAATGACACATGTAATTCATATGCAGGAAGGAGGCAGGACCAGACAGCATTCCAGAAAAATAAAGTAGCCAGGTTTCAGTCATTGACTAGCCACACACATTCGTACAATTTCTTACAAATTCAACTTTCCCTTCTGAAGCAGCGAGTCCTCTTACAGTGATGTCAGTGACTGAAAAATACCCCAACTTTAATTGGACTTAATTTTGTAAATAATTCTCAATTTAAATATACTATTCCCTTGCACAGTGCAAGAAATATTAAATTGGAATATTCCCTTATTCCAGTTTCACACAAAGCCTGCCCAGAGGAAGAGAATAACAACAAATCTCTCAATATTGTGTATAGCTATAGTAGTTGCAGTTATTCCTTGGAGTACAGAATTTGTATGGACATCAGCAGAACTTATAGTCTAGGACCTTATCCTGCTATCCCATAAACCTGAAATCCAAATTTTTGTCACCAACAACCTAGTTCTAGCTCTATTAAAGGGCCAATTCTTTCTAACAATTAATTTCTTCATCCTTCTAACAGACCTTACACATTCCACAAACTCCTCCTCTGCTCCCAGCTCCACCACCGAGGAGAGTGAAGCAACTGAAGAGCCTTGGAGTACAGCACTGGATAGTAAGGGGGGAAAAATCACACTCTGAATAGAACAAGCAAAATGCCAGAACGATTCATGTAATAAACTTGCAGGAAGCAGGCAGGCTCAGAAGTCATTCAGTCATGCTTCTCAAATTAATCAAATTACAAACCCTAGGAAAACAGAGCACTAGCTTAAGTCATCTTCATTTTCAGACTATCAAGTTGGCAAGATCCAATGGATATATTGATCCAGAGAAAAGTACAGTCACCAGATTCATCTGAAACACTGCATTGAGGAGAGAAGTGAACGTAATTTAGTCTGTGGGTTCTGCATGATTACTAAGGAGTAACTCACTCAGGATGTTACTACATAATAAATAGGCTTCATGCTGGGGATGGACACAACACCAGCTGTCCCAAAGTGAATAACCTCAGTAGGCTGTATTTTAGTGCCAGGTAACATGGTATTTGCAGACCATTTAAATAAGCAAGTGTGAGCCCCACAGTACTGCTTAATAGAGGACATGATATATGAGCAGTCCACTAGTCCATACTGCTTGCTTTTTGAGGGGTATCTTGGCCTGGGCTGATATGACTTTGATCAGGGTACACCCATGTGTAGTGCACCTTCTCAACCTTTACTACAGAATAAATTTGATTTATTTTGCTGTAAATGTGTTATATTTTTAAAGGACGTATTGTTCAATTCACTACAAGACTCTCAAAAGAATTAAGGTACTGGAACATAGCACACTCTTACCTGCTGTCAGATTAAGGGTAACATTGCTATAGTAGAATTTGGGGTAGAAGGAAGCATTTGGAAGTTTGCAGAGGTGAAGAAATATGTGAAAGAAGACAGTACCCTAAAGTTAGTGTATAACACTTGAATAAAAGCTAACACACAGAGGGTATTTAATCAGGTCTTACTTAGATATAATAGTAGTGTATCAGGCAAGTCTAAGACATGGCTTTGGAATGTCCCAAACTCAGAAATATTGTGAGTGGATATGGTAAGCATTTATTTAAGGGGAATTGGTGGTGGATATGAAATGGGATTGTTCTCACTGGTGCTTATTGAAATAGACATAATGACTGGGCTTTGCACTTCATCAATGTTAGAAAAAATGTAACACGGGTATATCTTCTATATGATGTGTATATCAGTAATGATTAGCCCTTTTGGTAGACGTTTTAATCTCCATGCTGATTCTTTTTTTTCTCTCTCTTTTATTTGCTTTGGTTTTTAAAATCAAAGTCCATGTGCAAGGATGAGTAATGATGTTTTTATTTTTCTATGAAACTAGATACTGGATACACAGCTTCTGTATCCTCAGGACCTTTGACTAGTTTTAAACTTGTTCTGCTCAGTGTTCAGAACTGACATAGATTGAATGCTTTGTCCAGACTGATTTCAACTATTTGATGAAGATTTTTGTATTTGTCCTATTAAAAGCTTTGCTTAGTTTTTCAAAGTGAGATAATATGAGCAAGGAAAGGAACTGATTTATTTTGTTTTCCCACAGCAACAGATACTGGCTACACAACCACAGTACCCTCTGGTAAGTCAAAGGGCTTACTTTTGAATTATTCTACCCATACGCTTTACAATATTTTAAAATGTCAGTCAATTAGAGTTCTTGTCCAGAGAACTTTCTTAAGCTTCCCAAATGAAATTTCTCAAATTGATGTCTATGAAATGCCAGACAGAGATTTTGTCTCTGACAACACATCGGTCCTCTTGCATATAGTGCCACAATGTTCCATGGTATTCAGATAGAAGTCCCTGAGTTTCTAAGTCATCTCATCTTGAGGTATTTCTGCTTATTTTGGCAGGAAAAGTTTAGCCTTAGATTACAGAACTGATTTCTGTTTTGATTCCTGAAGCAGCCAATCCTGTAAGAATGGTGCAGATAAAATATATCTGCCTGCTACTTGGTCTTGTAGAAGTAAGTCATTCTGAACTTAAAGATACACTTCTGATGTACAGCACAAGATATTAAAGGCATTTGCAGCATGCCAGTTTCCCAGAAAATCTGAGATCCAAACTTTTCTCCAAAAACATAGGCTTAGTTTCTATTACTAGCAGACCAGTTCTCTATAACTATTAAATTGATTAACCTTCAAATAGGCACGATTGAGTCCACAGATGCCACAGAGGAAAGTGAAGCAACTCCTACTGAAGAACCCTGGTCTACAGCTTTTGATGGTAAGGAGTAATCAAAGTGTAAATCAAATCTGAAGAAAATTCAGAATGATGGATGTGCTTTAATTTCAGGGTGGAGGCAGGGTTGGCTGCCAGTCTCTTGAACATAAAGTAGCCAAGCTTCCATCACTAACTGAATTGTCCCACATATTCTTCTAAAGTACACATTTAACTTTCCTACCTTTCCCTTGGTACTGAATGAGCGTATGGAAGAGGTAGTATATGGGTTAGGTGTACTTTAGGGAAGTATATACTCACATGGTCCCCTACGTTTATTAGGGGACTAATAGGAATTCGGCATGCTATATTAATTGCAAAGTGTAAAAATGGCAGCCAAATATGGAGTAAAATGCTAAGATAGGATGTGACATATTTGAGTGAAGTGACATAACATATTAAAGATTAAGATGTCTAAAGTTAGATGTGCAGCACTTTAATAAAAAATAAATAGATTATTCAATCATAGTTTATTTGGAAAATCCAAACTGTGCAAAAACTAGATCAAGACCCTTGTCTGTTTAATATGCCAAGCAAAGAAATAATGCCAAACAATGCCTTACTAGGAAATACATAGCAGTATGAAAGGCAGATCTAGGACATCCTTTTGAAATTCCCAAAGCTCAGTAATAATATGAGTGGATATGATCAGCATTTATAAGGGAACTTTGTGCTGCATATGAAACAGGCCTCTTCTCTCTAGTGTGTACGGAATATAAAATATGACTGAGTTTTGTGTTGTATTGTTGTCAGAGCAAAGTTAACGTGGTTGCACATAGGGCTGGCCTTAGGGAAAATGACACCCTAGGCAAACTTGTATTTTGGTGCCCTTTCTTTGAGTTTAAGTTTGTAGTAGTATTAGTGAAAGTTTAAGAAATAAAGCCCCAGGGAGAGGTGCTGGTCTAGATCAAAAGACTTGTTTCCACACAGGAAAGCACTGCTGCTGCTGTGTAGGGGCAAGTTGGGCAGACTGGAGCATGCACCACCCCACCTTCTTGTGCCTGGCCTGGCTCCTCCTAGCAGTGGCTGGAGAAGTGGGGTGGACTTGGCTGAGCACTGCTCCTCCTGCCTGGGGCAGGGATCGGCCATGCGGGGCAGGGGAAGAGTACTGCTGTATGTGTAGGCTGCTCACACATGTGTGCATGTGTGTGTATGCATGTCCCAGCTTTACTAGAACTTATAGTCATAATTTAAAACTGAAAGATACTATTTCCATGCAGAGCACGAGAAATATAAATGTTGCATTATTTCAGTTTCCCACAAAGCCTGAAATCCCAGTTTTTCCCTGAATCACCCAGTTATAGTTTCCATGACTAACAGACCACTTCTGAGTAACAATTAAAGTTCAACAATCTTCTACCAGGCACTGAAGAACCCACAGATTCATTTTTTACTCCTGTCTCTGTTACAGAGGAGACTGAAGAAACCCCTGCTCCAGAACCCTCTCCTACAACTTTAGATGGTAAGGAGGAATTGGCGTGTAAACAGACTAAGGAAAATGCCAGAAGGATGCATGGAGCTCGCTTACAGGAAGTAGGCAGAATCAGCTGCCATTACTTCAAATGTAACGTCGCCAGACTTCCATCATAGATTATTTAGGAAAAAAGAAACATGAAATTTAACACGCTTAAAATGCAATGCTCTCCAGGTTCATACAAACACAGCCATTTCATCTCAATATACCTGAGAATCCAGTTACTAAAACTGCATTTACACTTAGTGATTTTTCCACGTGGAGATGGCTGGACAGAATTTTAATGGGGTGCTTCCATATATCCTTCCAAATTGCAAGTTGTACACCCCTAATTCTTTTTCCCAGGAATAGAAATGATCATGAAGAAAGGGCAAGATGTTGAAGTGGGTATATTTTAGGGAGACTTATTCTTCTCCCGAGAGTGGAAGAGCATGTCAGGATATGGCTGTATTCTTCAGGTCATATTGCAAAGTGTAATATTGGCACCTAAATGATGAGTTAAAATGCCACGAGTCCTTTGGAGAAAATGAGGAAAGAGATCTAAAGTTAAATGTGCATCACCTGAAAAAAAGCTATCAGGAGGTTGTATACCCAGGATTTAAGAGGAAAATACCAACTAGTCTGTTGAATAGGCTAGACCAAAAAATACTGTGAATGTTCATGATTTGCACTTCTTAAAAGGGGCTTGGGGCTGGGTAAAAGATTGCTCTTTCTCTCAGTGGTTAACTGCAGCATAAACCATACCTGGATTTTGTATAGCCGTGTATCAAATCAAAGTATTGCATATGGTATGCTTTTAAGTAAGCCAGGAGGTCTCCAAGTTAAATCACTTACACTTCTTCTTAATAGCGTTATTTTTGTTCTGCAAATAAAATGACCATATACAAGAATGAGAATTAATGTTATTCTTTTTCCACAGTAACAGAAATTGAATACACAACTTCTGCACCATCCGGTGAGTCGGGACTTGAAAGATTATAGAGGGTGCTGCTGTAGACTGAGAATTGTCATAGTGTTATGGAGTGTGTAGATGAAACAGGGGCCCCAAATTGAAGTGGTGGGTTTTTTAAAGCACTGCTTCCATTTAGGGCCCTTTAACCCCCCATCTCCTGCCTCTCCGGTAGCAGGGAGGGCTAGCTGTTGGCAGGCGGAGAGGTCCCTGGGCTGCAGCGGTGGGTGAGGGTTGGTGCTTCCCTCTGCAGTAGCAGCACCCCACTCAGGCAGCACCTGCCTGCAGGCACCTGGCTGTGGTGCCCCCTGGGACTGCCTAAGCCATCTAGGGAAGCACAGGGCCCCCGCACAGCTCAGGCAGGCGAGTTCCAGGGGGGTGGGAAGGGGGCGGAGGACCCCCCAAAAAACTCACTGCTTTTTTTTTCTTGTGCAGAGCCTGCCTCCCCAGGCTGCTGCCAGGCTGCCTGCAGGGCTTCTTCTAGGGCCCCTGAGCTGAATGGATCCTGATGCTTCGCTCCACGGCTGTAGGGCAGCAAACTAAAACTCCTCAGAGGACTTTTAATTTGTTGCACCTCAAGTCATTTGAGGCCCACTATGCTGCCAAATATGCTACAGTGGCTGGAATTACTGAGCAATACACTGCCAACGTGTGCAAACACCAACACCATTAAAGCAGTGAAAAAGCATTTAACCTGCTTTAAAGTGTCATGCACACACGCCCCTTGCTTCATCTCCACACAGCCTTTGTGTCTTCCCCAACCTAGTTCCTAAAATTCATGTGGAAATCCATTCTCCACCCCTTCCCAAATGACTATGTGGTCTTTCACAGCAAGACACAACCAAAAGTAAGGTCAGTGTCTGATGGGCATGGTTAACCATGCATAGTGACAAGGCCACATTTAGATGGATCTAATCCCTTCTTAGTATTTAATCTGCAACTCTCTTGAGCTAAGAATAAAAATATGCCACCTTGTGGGGCTTTGTGATCTTAAATATTTAACCTCCCCCCCCACACACACACACATACACACACACTTTCCAGCTAGCTCCTAATGCACCCACTTCTGTTCCAAGTAAGAAAACAACAAATCTCCAAAGTTGCTTATATCTCTATCAGTATGTGATTAATTATTAGAGTCCTGTATAATAATTAATTTCTTCAACCTTCTTACAGATCCTACAGATTCCTCCTCTGCTCCCAGCTCCACCAGAGAGGAGAGTGAAGAAACCACTGCAGAATCCTCGAGTACAGCAGCGGATGGTAAGGAAAAACTGCAGCAATTGCAATCCAAGCAACATGCTAAAAATACTCATGGAATTATTTTTCTGGAAGCCAGCGGGATCCGAATTTTCAATAAAATGTCTCAAATTTGATACGTTTTGACTTAAATTATCTAGGAAGAAAGAGCCACTAAGCTAAGCCATCTTTATTTATAGCATAGCAGGCTACTAAGATCCTATGGATATACTGGTACAAAGACAAGTACTGTCACCAGATAGTTCAAAATCCTGCATTGAGGAGAAAATTGAATGCAATTCAGTGTGTGAGTAAACAGCGGGTAAAACTCTTACTAAGGAGCAGTTTACCCAATGCATAACTGTGTAATAAATTGGCTTCATGTTGGGGATGGACACAACGCTAGCTCTCCCAAGGTGAATGTCCTCAGTAAGGCATATTATAGTGTCGGGCAACATGGTATTGACAGATAATTTCCAGATTTAGGAGGGTCAGATCCAGCCCGCCAGCTGATTGGATTCATCCTGCAGGCAGGCACCCACCACTTAATTGGAACTGGCCCAGACGGAGGCTGACCTGGCTGCACTCCATATGGGGCTGAGTCAGGACTGACCACTTACTATCCAACTACTCGCGATATAACTAATCTTGCCCCAAGGATGAGAACAACAACCAGTGTCTCAACTTTGAATATATCTAAATTGTACAGTAGCAGTAATAAATCAGTATAGTATATATTGTTGACCCACATCAGAAAAAATTAAAGGGCCAGTTCACCCTAACAAAGTCCTCCACCTTCTTACAGGCACTCCAGAGTCCACAGATTCCTTCTCTTCTCCCACCACCATCATAGAGGACAATGAAGCAATCACTACTCCAGAATCACTGACAACTGCTATTGATGGTGAGGGACTGAAAGTGTAAACAAATATTTTTAAATGTTTGTTTTGCTTTTTATAATAAAATTATATGAACAAAGATGGGAATTGATATTTTTGTTTTTCCACAGTAACAGGTACTGGATACACAACTTTGATACCCTTTGGTAAGTAAAGAATTTAATGATTTTGCCCATGTGTTTTGCAACTCCCAGAATTGTCAAAGAATTAGTGTTTCTGTCCAGCCTAGTTTCCCAAGCTTTCAAATGAGGTTTCCCTGTCTCCTTCCAAATGATTGCTACTTCTTTATCATATGTGATGCAGAAAGTTTGTCTGTATTTACCCAACAATTGGCTTATTAATGGAACCAAAATGCTCCTTCATATTTTAGTCAGTAACCCCACTTATGCTGAGAATATAAACCATTACACCTTCTGGTGTTTTTGATTTTTTGTCAAGGAAGCTAAAACAGAACGTATTTCTACTTAGGCTTCTGAAGCAACCAGTACTATCACATTGATGTCAATGACAGAAATCCCCCAAATTTACTTGTTATTTAAATTGTAATTAGTGCTTAATTTTTAACCTCAAGGTATACTTCTAGGATGTGATTTAAGCAAGGCTTCTGACACTCCCATGACATTCTCATTCATTAGTCATAAAAGAGAAATACAGGCCAGATGAAAGTACTGTAAGGTGGATGCATAATGGGCGGGGGAGAGGGGGGCGGTGGATAATCTGTCTAGCAAGAAAGGGCCACTAACATAAATAATCTTCATTTTCTAAATATCAGTGTGGCAAAGTAGGGTCCCTGACTAGCCACAGGGCTAGTTTCCCCACCTACCTCTGGGCATGCCACCCACCTGTCTTTCCTGCCATGCCTTGATTGAATATAATTGAGTGTTAATTAGGTGGTAGGCTGGCCATTATACACCCCAATATTGGGGGGGAGGGGGGGCTATCTGCAGCTCCATTCCACCCCTACACTGCAGCCCAAGCCTCGCAGATGGCATCTCAGGCAGTTGACTCAACCGTCCCCTTTTCCTATTAGCTGTGGCCCCTTTCAAAGGGACCTTCAGCTTCTGTATAAGTGCTGGCCCCATCTCAGGCTAGTCGGGACCCTGAGCTTCTTCGCTTCATATGGGCATCCCTCACAGTGGGCCCCTGGCCCTTTTGCCCCTTCCAGTCCTGGCCCCAGCATTGGCCAGTCAAGTCCCTCAGTTGGGTCTATGCCTCCTGCCTGCACTCAGGGATTGGGGTGCCCCATTCCTGGCTCGGGTGCTTCTTGAAGCACGCCTGGCCCCGCAAGGTCACTCCCCCAGCAGGCTCAAGCGCTTCCTGAAGCTTACCTGGCCTTCCCTGCTCTGATGGTATGAATAGCCCACCTGAAGGTGAGGGCTGGGGTTAAGGAACCCCTTCTCACCCTTCACCAAGGTGATAACTGGCCTGGCATTTCCTGAGGACTCCTGCGCCACTGAGAGCCCCACCAGGCCACCCACTCCCAGCAGGGTGCAGTTTTAGGTCATGCCCAGGATCAGGAGCCTCCAAACCACCCCCTTAAGCTCCTACCCTTACCTCCAGGATTTTGTATTCAGCCTAGCAGCCAGGTAGTGTTACTGCCTGGCCTTCCAGTAGCAAACCGCTCTGTTTATATAGGCAGCCAGGGATCTAAAACGGCGGCTGCAATTAAGCACCTGCTGGCTGCTTGGCTCTGCCCTTAAAGTGGCAGGCACCAACAGTGCCCTGCACAATCAGAGACTTACAGAAACAACATCTGCATTTTGGAATCCTTGCGTGTGCAGTTATGTGGACAGAGCTCTAACTGATGTGTATCTCCATATTCTGGCACAAATCCCCCAGCTTTGTTTATGACTGTATTAGTACATATCAGTGGAATACAGAATTCTGCCCCTCATCCCCAATATTGAAAGGCTAAGGTATTGTGTCTGAAATCCAACTTTTTCATCAACCACCCACTTCTAGTTTCTATTATGATGTGCTAATGCTCTCTAATAAATTATTTCTTTACCTTCTAACAGATACTTCAGATTAGAAAGATTCCTTCTTTACTTTCACCTCCACCACAGAAAAGAGAGAAATAATCACTCCTCCAGAAAACCCCAACATTTCTTATGATGCTGAGAGATAAAAAATTATTTTCCAGGAAACAGGCAGAATCAGTTGGTATTCAAATCTATTAAGATAGACAAGCTTCTGCCATCACTTCAGTGGGAAAAGAAAACTGCTAGCCTAAGTCATTTTCATATAGGGCTTCTAGGGTCTTATGGACACATGAGCATATAATCCATTACTTAAACTGCGTATGGTAACATTTGCACATTCCACAGAACAGCCGAATTCTAGCTGGAGGCATCCTGATATTCCCCTATAACTATCCTTTCTATGTTTCTGTTTCATTTTTCCTGGTATGTGACTGTGTTAAATGAGCATTGAAAGTGTACTGATCCAGTGCGCATGATAGTGCACTGGTCAGGTGCATATGCTATTCAGATTTTTCCTCAGTCCTTTAGAATAGAAACAGAAGACGAAGCTAAAATAAATCTTTGAATGATATGAAGACATGAATAACTGCAGTCTGTTCTTGGTGTCAGTTCACATACAATGGGGCATGCTCCTTAACAGTCACAGATTTAGGAGAGTACTGGGATACAGGAAATAATGCATTCAGCATGTAATACTGAATGCTAAAAAAAGCCAAGTTTTGGGTAATAGAACTGAAGAGGATCAGGAGGTCATCTAGAGAGAAGCAAAAAAATGTTCTAGGAGGGTATAGTTAAATTTGCAGCTCTTGAATACAACCATCAAAGAGGATGCTTAATCCCAGCCTATTTTAGTTGTACTATGTAAAGATCTAGAGCATGGCCTGTTTAATAGGCCAAAACAGGAAATAATGTGAATGAATGAGATCAGCATTTATTAAGGGGAATTACTCAGTTCCTAAATCAGAGTCCCGAGCCCCACATTGGGCACCAATTGTTGACTCTAGATTTAGGACCCAGCAGCCATATCCATGACCCTCAGACCGACCATGACCTCTCCATTTGATGATAGGCAAATTTATTGATACACAGTGATAACAGAAAAGAAGCAATACAAGCAATCAAACAATTCTATATATCTATCAAATCCTAGGGCTGTCATCAGAGTCAAAGTACATCTGGTCAGGATGCAGGCTTCACCCTGAGGCACTCTCTTAGTTGTCAGATGTCAGCAGTCTGGAGGTGGGATGCTGAGGCTTGCACCTCCTCTCCAGTGGGGTGGATGAGACAGGCTGGCAGTGTGCCCTCTGTCCATGGTGGCTTCAGGGGCTCTGGCCAGGGGACTGGGACAGGGAGAAGGTAAGGACAGGGTGGGACCCAGGTGGAGGACAATGAAGGAGAGAGAGAGGGACCCTTTGCTACTCTCAATCTCTGCTTTTGTATTCTCTTT